AAGAACTGAATGAGCCGGTTTAACCAACTGTCGAAGTTTGTCGAAGTTTGCCGAGGATTACCGAGGACTCAATAAGAACCGAATGAGCCGGTTTAACCAACTGTCGAAGCTTGTCGAAATTTGCAGAGGATTACCAAGGACTCAATAAGAACCGAATGAGCCGGTTTAACCAACTGTCGAAGTTTGTCGAAGTTTGCCGAGGATTACCGAGGACTCAACAAGAACCGAATGAGCCGGTTTAACCAACTGGCGAAGTTTGTCGAAGTTTGCCAAGGATTACCGAGGACTCAACAAGAACCGAATGAGCCGGTTTAACCAACTGGCAAAGTTTGCCGATGATTACCGAGGACTCAACAAGAACTGATTGTGCCGGTTTAACCAAATGGCGAAGTTTGCCGAGGATTACCGAGGACTCAACAAGAACCGAATGAGCCGGTTTAACCAACTGGCGAAGTTTGTCGAAGTTTGCCAAGGATTACCGAGGACTCAATAAGAACCGAATGAGCCGGTTTAACCAACTGTCGAAGTTTGTCGAAATTTGCCGAGGATTACCGAGGACTCAACAAGAACCGAATGAGCCGGTTTAACCAACTGGCGAAGTTTGCCGAGGATTACCGAGGACTCAACAAGAACCGAATGAGCCGGTTTAACCAACTGGCAAAGTTTGCCGATGATTACCGAGGACTCAACAAGAACTGATTGTGCCGGTTTAACCAAATGGCGAAGTTTGCCGAGGATTACCGAGGACTCAACAAGAACCGAAAGACATACACACATTAAAATGGTTAAGAGGAATAAAATGGCTAAAAAGACAACACGAAAACCTATTAAAACTCAAATATACATAAAATCATTATAATATATTGAGCAGGTTAAAACGTGTCCTGTGTGACAGTGTCACATAGTAAAGAACTTGCCTGTATGATCTTGATATGAGGGTGTGAGTGAGAAAGTCTGAATTATGTGCAAGTTCCAGAATTTGGGTAAAGCTTAGCCTATATTTAAAAAAAAACTGTAATGATAAATATTATATATTCCAGTGCTTATCAGTAGGCTTTGCTCCATCATTTATTAATAAATGACATGTGTGTTTACTGTATGTGGTTTATTTATCACAGTCTTTTAAAAGGACGCACAGCCGAAGTAGCACGTCCAACTCAAAAAGAACCGAATGAGCCGGTTTAACCAACTGTCGAAGTTTGTCGAAATTTGCCGAGGATTACCGAGGACTCAATAAGAACCGAATGAGCCGGTTTAACCAACTGGTGAAGTTTGCCGAGGATTACCGAGGACTCAATAAGAACCGAATGAGCCGGTTTAACCAACTGGTGAAGTTTGCCGAGGATTACCGAGGACTCAACAAGAACCGAATGAGCCGGTTTAACCAACTGGCAAAGTTTGCCGATGATTACCGAGGACTCAACAAGAACTGATTGTGCCGGTTTAACCAAATGGCGAAGTTTGCCGAGGATTACCGAGGACTCAACAAGAACCGAAAGACATACACACATTAAAATGGTCAAGAGGAATAAAATGGCTAAAAAGACAACACGAAAACCTATTAAAACTCAAATATACATAAAATCATTATAATATATTGAGCAGGTTAAAACGTGTCCTGTGTGACAGTGTCACATAGTAAAGAACTTGCCTGTATGATCTTGATATGAGGGTGTGAGTGAGAAAGTCTGAATTATGTGCAAGTTCCAGAATTTGGGTAAAGCTTAGCCTATATTTAAAAAAAAACTGTAATGATAAATATTATATATTCCAGTGCTTATCAGTAGGCTTTGCTCCATCATTTATTAATAAATGACATGTGTGTTTACTGTATGTGGTTTATTTATCACAGTCTTTTAAAATCTCAGAATGAATGCATGCTAATAAGCAACTACAGGTGCATCTCAATAAATTAGAATGTCGTGGAAAAGTTCATTTATTTCAGTAATAATTGATCAACTCAAATAGTGAGCAATCTCTATGAGTTCCGGGAGGGCTAGCACTAACGTGCTTTCGTCATCATGCGTAACCTTAACTTGTGCAAGGATTGGTGGGAACAGTGACATCCAATAATATTTAAAAACTATTTTGAATTTTAACAACAAGAAAAAAAATTAAAACTACTTTATTATCTTTATCAAATGTGAAAAAAGCAAAAGAAAAAAAAAACTGAGAGAGACGGGGACAGCTACACCAACTCAAATTCAGTTGTCAGTTGAACTTGATC